TTCGCCTGGAGGCTAACCGCCTCAGGGTCTGACATTCGGCTGGAAGGAAAACCTGTTGCCGCTCTTTGTTGGGTCTTGCGCGCTCCCTGGCCGTTGTAAACGTTGTCTAAATTACTCTTTCCTCCCTTTCGTTCGACTTAGGATATTCCGCGTTGTTGAACCATCGCGCACAAACATACTAAGCAAACCTCCCGACTCAGGGCGGCTACCGTCTGCGCTCCACCCTAAGACGAAGGACGGTCTTGTCAGATGCCGAAAAGTTAGACAAAGCACTAACTAACTCCCACGACTGACAGACTTGTCAGCAGTAGTCCAGATATAGAGCCGTCAGCACGATTTCGACTGTTGGGGGTGGGAGAAGAGTGCCCCCTTTCTCGCGACAGGGTGTGTTCTAACTATGCGAACTTACTTCTCTCCCGTAGTCTGTCGCGGAAAAGTACTCCGAACGCAACTTGCGTAGACTACGTCAGGCGTCTGCCGTCGACTGAAGTCAAAAGATATTCTTATTAACACAGTCGCCAGAGAAGAGTTCACATTCTCTAGTCCTTGTTCGTTTAAACACGCTCACCTCTTTAGACATGGTACATAACCTCCGTCATGGAAATGCTTATGTAGGACGCTCAGCTCGTAGGCTGGAAAAACTGCCCGATGCAGGCACCAGAATGTGTTTCAGTTACATTACTTTTCAGATCAGCCGGACTGTGACAAGGCCCCCCTTTGTCTATCAGCCTTAATACTCCGCCGTGTCTCCACGGAGGAGCCCTGATTACCTAGAGACACTGAAGTCCGTAAAGTTCCCCTCCTCGAACTAGGACTTAAAATTGTCCAATCTAAAAACTGATCCAGTAAGTCAGCTGCAACTACCTGTAATAAGCACTCAGCATGCTCTGAAACCGCGTTGTTGGTTTTGCTAGATTCTTTCTTCGCTGATGACCTTGTGTACATAGTGTCCTCCGTAAGATCATAATGTGACACCCGTATTTACCTTTAACATATTTCTTGCGGTCTACCAGAGTAAATTTTGCATTGGAATTCCGTTGGCTTATCTGTTAGAAATTAATTTTTATCGATCGCACCTGGGCTGAATAAACGACAATATATCAGTCTTGTCAGCCGATCTAAGTAACCCCGACATTATGGAAGTTCTGCGAGGAAAAAAAACGGTAGGAGTCGATTACGCTGTCCGGGTGTCAAGTGTAAGCGCGAGGTGGACATTGAAAGTAAACTAAGTCGACGGAGGATGCCGAACCGCGCTGTAGTTTTGCCATTACCACCCTGAAATCCAGGTCAGACGTAACAGGCGTAGACAAAGTGTACAGTATTGTCAGACACCTGCTACGGTATAACCAAAAGCGGGTTGATTTTGCTAGATTCTTCCTTCGCTGATGACCTTGTGTACATAATGTCCTCCGTAAGATCATAAAGCGACACTCGTATTTACCTTTAACATATTGCTTGCGGCCTTTCTTCAAGTAAGAAATTTGAACAAGGCGCATTTCCCACCCAAATGAGAATGAATTTTTTACGCATGTTTTCTATGAGATATATCTGAATGTATAAGGGTTTCGAAAATCAATGCGAGAACTTCATACTGTTAAAGTATTCATTCTTTACAGAGTGTAGTTTTTCAGACTGCCGGAAATAAGTTCGCTCAAAAGTCGACATCTCGAAGTAACAGAAATATCTTGGGATTATGCTGCATGCGGATTAATATTAAAATCATACTTTAGTAATCTTTTCTAGTCAAATACGCATTTCAGTATTTCGGTTAAAATTTCATGGGTTTTCACATCCAGTGTATGCTACCGTACGCGTCAGGTGATGAATAGTCGGAAACGGCATTTGTACTCGTTTTCTTCTTCGGGTTTCGTCTGGATTCGCTATCTCTCACCCTCCTTCTCTCTCTCTCCCTCAAATGAAGTGTCTTTTTGATACTGGCATGTTAAAAAGAAACTTCGCGGGTACCATTCACACAGAAGGAATTGACAAATATACCAACGCTCCTTCAGTTTTCACAGACTTTCGAGAAACTCTTTTCGCCAACACCCATGGGTCGATCTGATGTCATGTTTGAGAGTTGCTCTAAACACACCCATTATTAGAAAGCGCGCCAACACGCGGAGCCATAGACACCAGTTTATCACCTTTTTAATAAACACTACACTGGCGACAGTAAATAAGGCATGCCACGTGTCACAGGCACTTGCAACAACTTTCCATGTTTCCCGCCAATACAGCAGGTGGGCTAAGTCATGAAATGTCAACCGAAATTCCGAAATGCCTTTTCATTTCGAATTAAGCAGAGTTGAAGATCTGATGCTCAAGCAGCATAATTCTATCATAATTCATGAAAGACACGCATAACAATATTCATTCCTTTGCTTATTCGGTAAAAAATTACGTCTTCTTCCGATTTTATTCTCGAAAGAATGGTAAAATTCGGTTTTAAACAGTTTCTAATTGTGAGATTTTCTAATACCATGAAACGGACGTTCAAAAAACTTCATGTCTCTGCATTTACCAATGTGGCTGGTAAAGTGAACAACACTTCCCAAATCCACAGCTGAATTTTATGAGCCCCATATGATGTCCACCTTATTCTTTAGAGAAACATTTGATTTTTCTTGCGCGAAAAACATATGGTTTGAAGTTTGGCAACTCTGAATGCAAGTGTAACGGCAGGTTGGGTTCAAAATTAGTCGGGAATTGGAAGCGTTTTTGAAAATCGAATTATACCCTTTTTTCGAGTATAAGATTGAAAGGCGTATTCTTCTACCGAATGAATGAAAGAAAGAAAGTTGCTAAGCATGGTCTACATTGATTTTTAAGGGCATTTAAAAGCAATGAGAAAAATGCATGCTATATGAGTAGTCATTTTTTGCATAGAATTGCTTTTGCATGCTGCCGGAGCGAAATTCGTTCGATAGCCAGCATTTTTCTGTAACTGAAATATTATAGAATTATGCTGCTTGATCATTAGTTCTTAAACCCTACTTAATTAGTCTCTTCGAAACGAAAACGCATTTAGGAACTTCAATTGACATTTCATGAGTTAGCCCACCTACTGTACATACACCAGAGACACGAGGCCGATGAGAGAGAAGACCTTTATACCACATTAGAACCGCCTTCGAGGCGACGTAGGGGCCGATAGCGGCCTGAGGCAAGGGTCCATCCTCAACTCTTGCGCTCCCGGACACGTCAGCAGCAATATGCCGTCTAATTCTCCAGGACTGTCGCGGCTATCATCTGCGACAACATTAATAGACGCCTGCCAAAGGCCACTGAGGGCGCAAAACCGAAGGCAGAGCTCCTCGGGAAAGGGAATTAGAGGGTTAGCGAGCGTTCGGCCGAATTGCGAGTAAAACATTCCGAGAAACTGCCGACGCATGTACAGTAGATGGGCTAACTCATGAAATGTCAACCGAAATTCTGAAATACATTTTCGTTTCGAAGAGATTAATTAAGTAGGGCTGTGAAACTAATGATCATGCAGCATAATTCTATAATAATTCGCTTACCTTGGGATGTGCGCTTTCGAGGGAACTTCCGTTCGGCTACACGCAAAAACTACACTCAGTAAAAAGGACTACTTAAGTAGCCTGATTTTTCTCATTGATGTTCAATACCCTTAGACATTCAATTATATTTCCTCAAAAAGATGCATACAAATATTCATTCTTTTGCTCATTCGGTAGACAATTGCTTCTTCTTCCAATTTTATACGCAAAGAAAGGATATAATTCTGTTTTCAAAATCTTTTCCAACTGCCGAATAATTTCGAACTCAACCTGTCGTTAAGCTTCCATTCAGGATTTTCAGTCTACAAGCCGCATATTTTCCGCCTACGGAAAACCATACATTTCTCGACGGTATTAAGAGGAGACCATATAAGGTTCATAAGATTTAGCAGTGGATTTGAGCCGTATTGTTAACCTTAAGAGCCATATTCGCAAATGCAAAGACATGGCGTTTTATTAACAGCCATTTCACGGTATTAAAAAATCCCACAATTAGAAATTTTTTTCAAACCGAATTACACCCTTCCTTCGAGTACAAAAATAGAAGAAAACGTACTTTTCTAATAAATGCTTAGAATAATAAATAGTTTATGCACGTTTTCCATGAAACGTAATTGAATGTTTAGGGACATCGAAAATCAGGTAAAAAAATGCATGCTACTTATATAGTCATTTTTGACGGGGTACAGCTTTTGCATGCAGCCGGAAAGAAGTTCTCTCGAAAGTGGACACCCTGAGGTGACTAAATTATTATAGAATTATGCTGCATGATGATTAGTTTTACGACCCCACTTAATTAGTATTTTCGAAACGAAAACGCATTTCGGAATTTCGGGTGACTTTTCATGAGATAGCCCAACTACTGTATATCTGTAGTCCAATCGATAAACCAAAGAGTTCACCTGGCCCCAGCCGATTATCCGCGACGCGTCGAAGAGAGGAAAAAAGACCAATGAAAAAGTCGTAGAAGACAGGACCTATTAGAAGTCAGAAAAAGAGAGCTATTTGGTATCTTGGACTGCCGACATTACTTTTCTCTCCAGTGCGGTGTCCGGTTGCACGGCAGAGCGCCCATACAAATACTGATACTTTGATGAAACTAAAAGTGTTTTGCTCGTTCTGTTTCTAAAAAAGTATGCACAGAAGCTAAAATGCCCGAAAAGTAGTGTGTCATATGTCCCATTGCCATTGGACAATATATTTGGGCACGATGCGCTCCGATCGGCCCGGCGATGGGAAACCTTCGCTCTTCGGGAGGCCTGCACGTATTCGCAGATCCGGTTTCTGCACAGGTGTCTCGACAATAATGTGTTGTCGAAATGTGTTTCATACAAGCCTCCGGTTAACATAGATTTGACAAGACGAGCAGTATTTCAACATGGCAGAAGGATGATTCGAGTACTCCTCTAAGATTGTCACGCGATACTTCGCAAGCACCGTCAAAGGATTGACCAAGAAAAGACCAGATGCTGTGAGTTCATGGGCGAGATCGGTACAAATCTGCTCCTGCAGAGGATACCTGAACAAGCCCGCGAACAAAGAATGATACGCGACTTAGCACTGGAGAACAAATTCCGAAAGCTGCCCAATCCAACGACGCCCAGAAATGACAAACTGGTGCACAACCTGTCGTCAAAGGAGCTGACGAAGAATCAGATGCAGGTTTTAAGGCACATAGCTTCATTCAACACGACTGGCGCCAAAGCCGTTAACATGATTGCAGCAGTGGAATCAATCCTTAATCAGACGGAGGCAACGGAGGAGACCAAGTCGCCTCTCCTAATGGCCCACAGGCCGCGGGGCGACACCATTTTCGCAGGTTGAGTGATAGTTTGACTGTTGAAAACGACGACTTTCACCGTGTACCCCGAGGAGAGAACACAGTGACGGGGACTGTCGAAACACCTATCTCACTTTCTAATACGATAGCCATCTTGCATTGATGGCAAGACGCTCGAAGTTGGGAGCGGACACGGTGTCCGACAAAATAGTGCACCCAGTCTGCGCGTGCTACGTCTGACCTGGATCCCAGGGTGGGGTTGGCGTCGGTTATGCTGTCCTGGTGCCAAAGTTTAAGCGCGGTGTGGGAATTTAGTCCAGGAACTGGCGCCTAGAGTGGGACGCATTTGCTCTCCTGAAACTGTTGAAGCAGAACTCCAGCAGCTGTTAAACACGCTCCGCGAAAACAACTATCCAGAGAGATTCAGTCTCCGGAATATTAGAGAGCGTGCCACAAAACCTGCCGTTGCAAGTGCAGAGAAGAAAGACTTATCTTTAAGACTGCCTTTTCTAGAAGACGCAGCAAGCAAATTAGTGAGACAACGTCTGAGGATAGTTCTAACAAGTGCCGTCCACGCGACAAACTTGCGCGTATTCTTCGCAAACTACCCCTTACTACGCTTGAGGGGCAAAGACCGGCTGCCGTTTCAGGCCACACCCATGCGCATTTATTCATTCACTGGCTCCCGTGGAGCGGGATCTATTGGACGTAGAGCGAGGCGTCCGCAAAAGAGAATGCGCGAACACATGCCCGCCTGGCTGGGTAGAGGTGAAAATCGATTGATTTCGAGTTCGATTTTGCACATCCACTCGATATGAACCACCAAGCTGACACTAAAGAAGCCATTAAAGTTATCTACCGGGCACCGGCACACTACGCTAAAGGCCTGTGCATACGGATGCTAGTCACAGCCGAAGCAGTGGCTATTGGACTAGCAAACCCAGTACTCTGTTGTCAGAAGACGCTGACACAAGCAGTCACCCCTGACCAAATCCAGGCTGTGATAGCACGCCGGTTTCGACGTCCTGAGAGCAGTCACACGCATTCAGACCGCTTACAATCTAACCAGAACCCCTCTCCTTCCTCCCCTCCCCCTTCTACCCCACCTCTATCGTCCTCAACACGCTGACTCCGTCATGCGGGCGGCGTAGGAACATGGTGTCCGATTAACCCTGCCCCTGAGACGCATTTATATCCTGTCTACAATTAGAATGATCATTACCCATGTAAATGTATCCACCTGATGATGAGTTACCGAAAACATATGTTCGCCAACTGACACTTCAATTTCAAGTGAAGTAACCTGAAGGAAGATGCTGAACTCGTTGGTGGGAAAGTAGCTGATGCTGAAACGGAACAGGGTAGCCTCATGTTTTAGTTTTGGGGTTTGAGTTAGTATTAAGCTGAGAATTGGGTTTAGGGTAAGGATTTGTTTTAAGATTAGAGGTTTCGGGTAGAGTTAAAATTTACATTATGGCTTACGTTTACGCTTACTCTTAAGGATGGAGTTAGAGTTACGGTTAGGCTAAGGGTAGGATTACGATTAAGGTCAGGGATAGGATTAAGTCAGGGCAAAGGCTAGGCTTAGGCTTATGGCCAAAGGTTGTGGTAGGTTTGGGGTCAGTTTTAACGCTAAGTTTAGGGTTAGCGTTAGGTTTATAATTACGTTAAGGATAAGTTTTTCTTTCGAGGTTACGGTTAGGTTTAGGGTATTGCTGCCTCGCACGTTCTGCCATCCAGGTTCTAGGCTTCTTTTAATCTCGTGACAGATTTGCCATACATCAGGTTGCTTTTTCCATTTCAGCCTTGCCTACTTTCCCACCAACGATTTCGGCATCCTCCTTCGACTTAGTTTACTTTCAATGTCCACCTCGTGCTTTCACTGGACACCCGGCCAGCTTCATCGACTATTACCGTCTTTTTTCCCCGTAGAATTTCCATAATGTCGGGGTAACTTAGATTGGCTGACAAGACTGATATATTGTCGTTTATTCAGCCCCGACAGATCGATAAAAATTAATTTCTAACAGAAAAACCAAACAAATTCTAATGCAAAATTTACTCTGGTAGGCCGCAAGGAATATGTTAAAGGTAAATACGAGTGTCACATTATGATCTTGCCGTGGACATTATGTACACAAGGTCATCAGCGAAGGAAGAATCTAGCAAAACCAACCTGCTTTTGGTTATCCGGTAGCAGGTGTCTGACAATACTGTAAACTTTGTCTACGCCTGTTACGTCTAACCTGGATCTCAGGGTGGTAATGGCAAAACTACAACGCGGTTTCAGATCATGCTGAGTGCTTATGACAGGTAGTTGCAGTTGACCTACTGGATCAGTTATTAGATTGGGCCTTCTTAAGTCCTAGTTCAAGGAGGACAACTTTACGGACTTCAGTGTCTCTAGGTAATCAGGGCTCCTCCGTGGAGACACGGCGGAGTATTAAGGCTGATAGACAAAGGGGGGCATTATCACAGTCCGGCTGATCTGAAAAGTAATGTAACTGAAACACATTCTGGTGCCTGCATCGGGCAATCATGTCAGCCTACGAGGTGACCGTCCTAAATAAGCATTTCTATGACCAAGGTTATGCATCATGCCTAAAGAGGTGAACTTGTTTAAGTGTAGAAGGACTAGAGACTGCGAAATCTTCTCTGGCGACTGCGTTAATAAGAATATCTTTCTAGTTCAGTCGATGTCAGACGCCTGACGTAGTCTAGGCAAGTTGTGTTTGGAGTACTTTTCCGCGACAGACTACTGGAGATAGGTAGGTTCACATAGTCAGAGCACACCCTGTCGCGAGAAAGGGGGCACTCTTCTCCCACCCCCAACAGTCGAAATCGTGCTGACGGCTCTATATCTGGACTACTGCTGACAAGTCTGTCAGTCGTGAGAGTTAGTTAGTGCTTTGTCTTACTTTTCGGCTTCTGACAAGACCGTCCTCCGTCTTAGGGTGGAGCGCAGACGGTAGCCGCCCTGAGTCGGGAGGTTTGCTTAGTATGTTTGTGCGCGATGGTTCAACAACGCGGAATATCCTAAGTCGAACGACAGGGAGGATAGAGTAATTTAGACAACGTTTACAACGGCCAGGGGGCGCGCAAGACCCAACAAAGAGCTACAACAGGTTTTCCTTCCAGCCGAATGCCAGACCCTGAGGCGGTTAGCCTCCAGGCGAAGTTCGTGCATGCATCTAGGCCTTGTCGACCTAGAACCAATTAACGAAGGGCGTAGTATTTAATGGGTTCAGGGTCTCGCCAGACCGGTGCGAAGTCAGGCGTGATTCGCGCAACCAGTTGACAGTGAGTGTAAGGCGGAATGAAGGTCACGTATACATGTATCTACTTTGATTTCTGATGATGGGTTTGAGCAGAAATCCGAAACGGCAGGCCAATAAAGCTCCTGTCCCAGGGATCGTGCCTCTTTCTTAAAGTCATGGGTGTCGTGGCAGATTTGAACTAATTCACTTTTGACCTAACTCGGTGTCTCGGTAGGATTCGAACCCACGAAATAAAGGGAAGGCCTAAGTATATTCAACGCTCTACGAGGCCCCACTGGACGACGCGAGTTTAATTACACTTTTGTCAAGTTTACCCGCTCAACCTGCTGCACCCTCTTGGTCCACCAAATCTGGCATAGCAAGCTGACTGACAAGCAAGATTCCTTAGGTATTTAATCTACAGCTCACCTGTTGTCTACCAGGTTCACATAATTCATACATGTTTTGGCTGATTTTGAATAGATGATATTGAACAAACTGTGAAAATCTCGGCGCCTCTGTGGCAACTGTGCATGATGAATTACGTGAGCCTGTTATTCATCTGGTGGAACCCAGGTATATTACTTTGGAAATCTTGCTTAAGCAGTCAGCATTCTGCGCCAGATTTGGTGGATCTAGACGTTTCAGTAGGTTGGGCGGGTAAACTTGAGCTAAATATGATTAAACTCATGTCGTCCGGCGGGGTCTCGTAGCTCAGGTGTCTAGAGCGTTGGCTGTTCTAATACCTGCACCAAAGACTTCCCTGCTGTCATGGGTCGGAATCCTATCGAGGCACCGAGCTTTTCATAGTTGCGTCAATAATGAATAAAATAAGTAAGTCGTGCACAAATTTTAACCGTCTGTTGTTTCAGATTCTCTCTCGAAACCTCAGGCCAGGCAAATTCTCGTTCCAAAATCGCACCCCTTTCCCTCACTTCTTCTACATCTTCTTCAACTCATCTATGACTTAGAACTCGCTTTGTCGTCAGAATTGGTAGTGGTAAGTGTTCGCGCCAGCTCCCCCTCCCCTTAGAAGGCTTCATTTTCCGACCTCACTTTATGGAGTAGGGTCCCATCCATATATCAAATGGGTTTGGAAGTCATCTAACTATCTTCTTCGAGCACTTCGACCTGGCTTGCTCAACTATGTACTTTTTCACTGACATTTGAAATTCATGCTGCTCTCAGGCCACGCAACTAGAAAGGCCATAAGCCAAAAGGTGTAAAAGTGCACGGCTTCAGTCTGCTCCACTTGATAAAGTGCAGATTTTTATTAGAAACATGCGGTCTCTCTTAGTTATGTTGAAGCCAACACGAGCCTCGTCTGGGGAGTCTTCAGGTCTCAAAGAACTTCATCTCTGATTTGGATGGCAGACTGACCGTCGTAGGCGATGACATCCACCGTGGGCTTCGAACAGTGGGCGTAACACCTGTGACTTGGTGGGCTAACTCATGAAATGTCAACCGAAATTCCGAAATGAGTTTTGTCTCGAAAAGCTTAATTAATTAATTAGGATTGTGACATTCACCGCAATGCAGCACAATTATATAATAATCCAGTTACCACAGGATGTTGGCTTTCAAAAGAACTTCTTTCCGGTTGCATGCAACACCCGTCCTCTACAAAAGAAATGACTAGCTATGTAGCATGCATTTTTCTCACTGATTTTCGATGCTCTTAAACATTCAATTATATTTCATGAAAAACATGCATAAACTATTCATTCTTATACTCATTTCGTGGAAAAGTACGTTTTCTTCTAACTTCGTTCTCGAAGGAAGGGTAT